TGTACAGCAGCCTGGTCATAATGAGAAAAAGTAAGGTTTACAAAAGAAAAGGCCTGACTTTTCACTTTCAACAAACAAAGCCTACAGAAGGACTGAAGTCAGCAATAAGAGAGCCAAGGATTTCCCCCTCTGACTTTCCTCCTTTCTTCCTGGGACACAGTTTCTCTCACATTCGTGCTGATTAGAAACTCTTCCAAGTCAGGTTGATGCTGGTTCTCTCTTTTTTTGGGGAGAGGTTTTTGCCATAGGGCATGTACCCTCACCAGAAAGACAGAGAGAGACAGAAAACAAGAAATCACTCCCCAGGGGGGATGGCCACGCCACAATCCCTTCTCCTCCATTCTCTTCTTGGGATCTTGGGCACACATGCACACGCACCTGGCATGAGTTTAAGCCACCCGGTCTAGGACTTGAATTGAGGTCAACTACATAGGAATCCAGCAATATAACCACTATGCCAACTGCTGGTCCCAGGCTGATACTGGTTCTCTAGGATCCAAACTGCAGACTGAAAGTAGAGGAGAGAGGGTGCTGGCTCTAGGGAGTCAGGGCACAGACTAAAGCTCCACACTCCAATCAAGTCTGTTAAGCGCTCTCTCCACATCAATTAGAAGAAAATGCAGACACAGGGGCAGGGGACATGACTGGTAAAACTCCTAGGAGGAGGCCAGAAGGTGGCATGGTAGTTAAGGACACTGGACTCCCACATGGCCAACTGCAGTTCGAGTCTCGGACCTGGTGGCTTGCTTTCCCACTTTCTCTCATTCTATCCCTCTCTGGTCAAATTAAAATAAATAAATAAAATAATGTTAAAAAGTCATGAAAAAAAAAAAAAAAAAACAACCTCCTAGGAGGGAGGGCAGAACCTTTTCCTGCTCCCAGCTTGTTAGTGTATAAACAGCATTGCTGGGACCAGCAGTTGGCACAATAGCTATGTTGCTGGACTCCCATGTAGTCGATCAATCATGGTTCAAGCCCCAGACCTGGTGACTTAAAACTCACACCAGGTGCGCGCGAGTGTGTGTGTGTGCGCGTGCCCAAGATCCCAAGAGGAAAATGGAGGAGAAGGGATTGAATAAAAAAAAAAAATAAAGTTAAAAATTAAAAAAAAAAAAAAAAAAAAAAACAACCTCCTAGGAGGGAGGGCAGAACCTTTTCCTGCTCCCAGCTTGTTAGTGTATAAACAGCATTGCTGGGACCAGCAGTTGGCACAATAGCTATGTTGCTGGACTCCCATGTAGTCGATCAATCATGGTTCAAGCCCCAGACCTGGTGACTTAAAACTCACACCAGGTGCGCGCGAGTGTGTGTGTGTGCGCGTGCCCAAGATCCCAAGAGGAAAATGGAGGAGAAGGGATTGTGGCATGGCCATCCCACCTGGGAGGTGATTTCTCACTTTCTGTCTCTCTCTGTCTTTCTGGCAAGTGCATGTGCCCTATGGCAAAAACCTCTCCAAAAATTAAAAAAAAAAAAAAAAAAAAAACCAGCACTGTGACCAGGATAAGTGAGGATGAATGAGGAAGACTCAGAGAGACCTCCCAGAGGGTCAAACTACGCCAGTTTTAACAAGTCACTGACCCTAACACATCTTGCAGAAAGTACTCGACTCGACTCTAGAGTCTGCCTCCATACCTTTAAGCTCCTAGCCTGACCTAAAGCACCCTCAAGGAAAGCAAGTACATTAGACAGTATGGCAATAGGTATGACATTTATTTAGCACTACTGTCCTGACACTCTATAGAAATGACAAACCTGCTAGCCTGGTGGTTGGGATGCAAGACTCCCACATGGCTGATCAGTTTGATCCCTGACCTGGTGACTTGTTTTCTCACTTTCACCCCTCTCTCTCACTTGCTCTCTCTGTTTCTCTCTGGTAAGCACATGTGCCCTGTGACAAATTAAAAAACAATAAATAAATATATAATTTTAAAAAAGAAAGAAATGACAGGCCTGAAAATATAAAGAAACTTGTCTAAATTCACTGAGATAGTAGTGGACAAGCATGGACCCATATCTCCTGAATACTCCATCCAGAGCTCCTTCTACCTGGTAGGAAAGACTCCCAGGGCCTGAGGCTCAGCAGAGTTTGGACTCACCAAGTCAAGGCATCAGTCCTTCCCCATAATACTGAGTTGTGGATCAACAAAGCTTTCCTGGGGCCCTTTTCTGAAACCTCCATTCCAGTCACACTCTGGGTCATCCTGCTCACTGCTCTCTAGACTATCATTGATCATTACAGCTGTCAGTCTCTTGATGAAAGGGGACACGTCTCAGCTTTCCAGAACTCCCTTGGTACCTTGCAAAGCACTGAGCTCAGGACAAGCATTCAGTATTTGTTAACAATGAATGAAGGGGCCAGCAGGTGGCATAATGGTTGGTGTGTTGGACTTCCACATGGGCAATTGCGGTTCGAGTCCTGGACCTAGCGGCTTGCTTTCTCACTTTCCCTTTCTCTCTTACTCTCTAGTTAAAATTTAAAAATTAATAAAAATAACAAATAAATAATTCCTTTTTTTGAGAGAGAGATATTTTTGTTATAGGGCATGTGCACTCGCCAGGCAGACAGAGACAGAGAGACTGAAAGTGAAAAATCACTCCCCATGAGGATGGCCATGACGCAATTCCTTCTCCTCCATTCTCCTCTCAGGATCTTGGACCTGCACACACACACACACCTGGTGTGAGTTTTAAGACATCAGGTTCAGAATCTGAACTGTGGTTGACCACATGGGAGTCCAGCAATGTAACCATTACATCATCTGCTGGTCCCAAAATAAATCATTCTATTTCTTTTTAAAGAACTATTTTTATTTAAGTTTATTTATTTACTTATTTTAAATAGACCAGACTGAAACAGAACAAGAGAGAGAGAGGGAAAGTGAGAAAGCAAGCTGCCAGGTCTGAGACTCACAGTCGGCCATGTAGGAGTCCAGTGCCCTTAACTACCACGCCACCTGCCCCAAAAAATAAGTAATTCTTGGGAAAAAACAAACGGGGACAAGGGGGTACCATGGTGGTTAAAGCACTGGACACTCCCACATGGCCAACCACAGTTTTAGTCCCAGAACTGGTAGCTTGCTTTCTCACTTTCTCGCTCTCTCTCTCTGGTCAAATTAAAATAAATGAATGAATAGATAAAATTAATAAGTAGTTCTTTTTTAAAAAAAAATGAATGAAACGTGGTGTGGCTCTTGAGTTTCTATTTGTTGTAAGTCAACAATTCCAGGAACTCAGACATTTTCAAAGGACAGCGTGAGGCTACCCTGGAGGGGTGATTTCTCGCTTTCTGTCTCTCTGTCTTTCTGGCAAGCGCACACACCCTATAGCAAAAACCTCTCCAAAAACATGCATTGGAGACCAGCAGGTGGCATGGTAGTTAGTAGGGTCACTGGATTTCCACATGGCCGACCATGGTTCGAGTACCAGACCTGGCAGTTTGCTTTCTTGCTTTCCCTTTCTCTCTCTCTTTCTGTCTCTCTCTGGTCAAATTAAAAAATAACAATAATAACAACAAATAGAATTAAGTAAATAAAAAATTATTTAAAAAATATGTACTGTAGGGACCTACAGTTGGTGTAATGGCTATGTCACTAGACTCCCATGTAGCCAGTGTGGTTCTAGTTCCAGACCCAGTGGCTTAAATTCATGCCGGTTGTATGTGCGTGTGTGCCCAAGATCCCGAGAGGACAATAGAGGAGAAGGGATTGCGGCATGGCCATCCCCCCTGGGGGGTGATTTCTCGCTTTCTGTCTCTATGTCTCTCTCTGTCTGTTTGGCGAGCGCACGCGCACTACAGTGAAAATCTCTCCAAAAAAAAAAAAAAGTACTGTAAAACTATATATACTAATGCAAGCATAAAATGAAAAGCTGGGGGATCAACAGGTGGCATAATGGTTGCACTGCTGGACTCCCAAGTAGTCAACCACAGTTCAAGTCCTGGACCTGGTGACTTAGAACTCATGCCAGGTGCTTATACATGCGTGACCAGGATCTCAACAGAACAGAGAAGAAGGGACTGCAGTGTGGCCATCACCCTCTGGGGGGATGATTTCTCACTTTCTGTCTCTCTGGTGAGTGCATGCGCCCTATAGCAAAAATCTCTCTTAAAAAAAAAAAAGCTGAAAAAATATAAAACAAATTATTATATACAGTGCTTGTGTCTAAAGATATTTTGTGAATTATTCACTCTTGTAATGTTTTACCTTTTTTTTCATTCCCAGAGGGTGCATATGCTTGCCAGAGAGAAAGAGACAGAGAGAGGGAGAGCCTACCCTCCCCCCAGTGGGGTATAATCACACTGTAATCCATTTTTCTCCATTTCTCCATCCTGTCAGAATTCTGTGCACACATGCATATGGGCCCAATGGGCCCAACATGGTTTGTTTTGTTTTGCTTTTAATATTTTATTCTTTCTTTCTTTCTTCATTTATTTTAATTTGATCAGAGGGAGGGAGAGAGAGAAAGTGAGAAAGCAAGCCGCCAGGTCTGGGACTTGAACTGTGGTTGGCCATGTGGGAGTCCAGCGCCCTTAACCACCATGCCATCTGCTGGGCCAACATGAGTTTTTGCTTTTGTTTTCTTTAAGCCATCAGAAGCTAGGATTCAAAATGCAGTCAGCCATATGGGATCTAGTTCCCAATGCACAGTACTTAGCTACTGTGTAAGAAATAGTAACTCAGGACCCCACTTCTCAAGGACTCCAGTGGGACATCACTACTCTACATATTAACAGCTGACAGGACAAAAATCCCTTCCTTAGGGATGAGAGGAAGAGAAGTCCTTCTTTTGTCATGATCCCCAATCCCATCTAAGACATCCTATCCACTGTCTAATCCACCATCAGAAATACAGACCCTGACAATGTACTGAAATTCTTTTTCCAAACTCCCGACAATCAACCTAGTTATATTTACTAAGCTTCTGCTGTGGGCTAGGAACTCTGCCAAGGCTGTGACAAACAAAAAGCAGCCAGCCATACTTGCTGCACTCAAGGAACTTACAGCCAGATGTTCTGCAAAGAGTCTCTTCCTTGGTCATTATTCTGATCCACGGCTCTGAGAGATACCTTTATTTGCTATAGGGCACGTGCACTCACTGGAGAGAGAGTGACAGAGAGAGAGAGGGAGAAAGTTAGAAATCACCTCCTGGGGGGATAGTCAAGCTGCAATCCCTTCTCCTCCATTCTCTTGGGATTTAAGGTGCGCGCGCACGCGCACGCACACACACACACACACACACACACACACACACACCCCTGGCATGATTTTCAAGCTGCCAGGTCCACAACTTGAACTGTGGTCGGCCATATAGTTATCCAGCACCCCAACTACCACACCAACTGCTGGCCCAAGGCCACTTTCAAGACTGGTGGTCTGGGAAGGATCCCTCTGAGATATTTTCTCCCAGGAAATGAAACATCACATTTTCTACTTTAGCATCACATCAAATACCATGGCAACAGAAGACTGTACCACGAATTAGCTCAGTAAAGACCTAGCCAACCAACAAAACCAGTTAATACTAAGTAAGATTCCTGGAAGGAAAGGAAGTTCAAACAAATAAGACCCACTTCAACCCTCAACAAATAGAATTGATTCCCTTCTGTTAAGGCTGTACTTCTTAAAAAAAAAAAAAAAAAATTCTCCCATGCCAAGATATACACAGAGAGTGATACTATTGTATAACACCCCTGGAGTCAATGGAGACAGCTGTTCTCAGCTATCCTGAAGCTTAAGGGTCAATACTTTAGCACACCTATGACTCATTCCTGTCACAGCTGGAAAACTCCAGAGGTTCAAAGTTCCCCATATAACATGCTCACACTTATAAAGCAAAACAGAAAGTTAAACCAAGTGTGATCCACCTAACTCCATTATTGACAAAAAATTCCAGCACCCATGATGGATGCCCAAGATGCACCAAGATGCCCCAGACACCAGTATCTTCAGAGCCATTCTGTTGCAGGTATCAGGCAAACCTGAAATGAGAGGCAACTG